CAGTGGAATATGCTAACTGGAAAAATCAACATAAGCTCCTTAATTTACATGTGAGGAGAAAAAACTAATGTACAGATACTTAAGAAAAATGTTATATTAGGGACAATTCGTCTTAAAGGAGAACCTAATTTGCATTTATATTTGAATTTCAATAGAATTGCTTTGAATTGCTACTTGATTGATAAGTGAAAACAGACTCTTTTATGACTTAAGTTATAAAACCTTATAGTTCATCAGTTCCCTCTCCACCCTGCAATTACCTGCAGGAAGAGATTGGCCATAGGCTCTATTTCATGAGTTTTATAGGGGCACATTCATCCCAGTTTACATACTATGAATTCTTGGAAAATTCTATAGATTAGAGAAAATAAAGTGCTTCCTTTGGATCAAAGACATTTCAGTTGAACTCATGTGTTTATCCATAAAAAAGCTGCCCCAAACATTATGTTAAACTGTGAAAGACATGTTTTACATAAATATATGTATACAGTATACTATACTAATATGTAATAATGCAATATATAGCAATCTTGTGAACCTACAGAGTGGGCAAAACAATGACAACAATCCAACAACAAAAACAACTCAAATGTATAGAGGAAGGACAGGTATCATATGATCCAAGAGTCTCAGAATAAAATTTAATTTGTGTGATTCAGATCAGTACATGTATGACTAAGTTTAGTACTGAGGGCAAGCAACATCGCAAACATCTCAGATACATTTTCAGAGTAATAAAATACTCTACAACAGATTAAAGTTTACTACTGATGAAAAATTATGTGACAAAAATTTATCAGTCAAACCCTTAGAAAACCCAGGAGTGTGACTGCAGAACGAAGGAACTAATAGCATGTTCACTGGTCTTACAACGATAAAGAACAATAAGTCCACATTTAAATTTCCAATCAAGCTAGGATACTTACATTCCTAATAATTAACGCAACATTTAGATAAGAATGGCAAAAGTGTTCCATAACTGGTATAATCCAGATGAGACAGCCTGGATTTTGTTTCAACCTGTTGTGGTAGAAGTGTAGACTTCTGTAAAAATGCAAGTTGTAATTTTATAAACTGCCAAAAAATCCATTTGTTAAAAGAAAATTTGGGGACCAGCCCCGCGGCACAGCGGTTAAGTGCGTGTGCTCTGCTGCTGGCGGCCCAGGTTCAGCTCCCGGGCGCGCACCGATGGACCGCTTGTCAGGCCACGCTGTGGCGGCATCCCATATAAAGTGGAGGAAGATGGGCACAGATGTTAGCCCAGGGCCAGGCTTCCTCAGCAAAAAGAGGAAGATTGGCATGGATGTTAGCTCAGGGCTGATCTTCCTCACACACACAAAAAAGAAAATTTGTTCACATTAACCGGGGCTGTGGGATCAGTGAATAAAATAAAAAGAAACAAGTAATATTAGTGTTACAGGTTTGGAATGCAGGAGCATTACAAAAATCACCAATTGATTACAATAGGCCATATCGATGTTATTTGAATTTTCTATCAGTTTTCACTGGAAGAGATTCAAAAATAATTCTCCTCGAATCACTAAAAATTCTTTATATATTCAGTGGGGCTTACCATGTTTTAATTCCACCAGAAAATATGAAAAGCTATGGGAACTGCTGTGCATATGATTGTACATTAAAGAACACGTATTTTTGTTTTAACTATGTTCCTTGTGTAATAACCTCAAATAAGAAAAGACCAAACACGTAGGGGGAAGACTTCCTTATGCTAATTGCTATTTCTCTTTGATTTGCAAATAAGTCCGTCATTTAAAGTAAATACAGACTCAAGCCTGTGCTGACTTAACTATTAACTAACTTTTATACGCTGCCTTCCAGGGTTCAGACAGTGACCTCTGATTAATCTGAGTCTGACATTAAATTATCCTTAACTTGCTGTAGGCTATAAGCAGGTGCAGCAACTAGTTCTTAAAGTGGCATGATCTAATTATTTTCATATAATCTGATATTATGATTGCCTAATGACTTATTTGCTTTTCCTACAATAGTAAAGTGTCTGAGTGAATACCATTCAGGACAAAAATAGTGAAAAGAAAGCCACACATTTAAACATAAAACCTGAACTAAGACATTAGGTATAAAGAAAATAAAATCTATAATACACTAGCAGGCAAAACAGACTACCTACACAAAAGAATAACTATCAGGCTGATGTCCAATGTCTCTCCCGAAATACTAAACGCTAGAAGGAAAAAGATCATCAATTTCCGCAATGTTTTGAGGGTAAAAGCTTATATCTGAATAATTAAAAACCCTGGCAAGCTGTCTTATGCAAAGACAACTGACAGATATTTTAAAATATGTAGACTCAGATAATAAACATCTTAAATAATATTTCTTGAAAAAATAACTTTTAGAAACGAACAAAATTAAGAGTTCAGAATGCAAAAAAAAAAAATGAGTAGTGATTATAAATTATAGTCAGTTACGAAGAAAGGTTTGATTCTTTTTGATGGAGGGTGTCATGCCATGTGGGATATTCTGTTTTACTTTCTCTCCAACAGATATGGTATTATTTATGCCAGAAAGAATTAAATTCCAAACAAAAAATTAAAGTTCATATAATAATGCAAAAAAAAAAGGGAACAAGTAAATTAAAAAGAGAGTGAGAGAGAACACAGAACCAAGGGGCAGAGGCTGTTTTGTTCTCAGGCTAACCTACATTTACTCAAAGAACACTGCGTCGCGTCACAGTGCTCCAGGATCAAACTATCCTCTGTAACCACATATTTCCTGAAGCGTTCATTCCAACCTGGAATGTCAAGAAACACATCTTTCACTGTTCTAGAGGCTTCAGAAAGTCTCATTTCTCTCACCTGCTGAAGAGTTGTATGTAGCATGTAGCACCCTCCTAGACCCAAGCCATTCGTGGTGGTGCGTGGAGCAAGAGGGAAGTGTGTAGAGAGGTAAGCTGGACACTGGTGGTCAGGTAAGAGGTCAAGAAGTCATTCAGGGTCCCAGCCTCAGCAATTCTGAAATCCTGGCCCATTCCCTTTCTACGTTTTTCTCAGACCCCAGGAGTATCTCTCTTTTGGGCGCCAGTATCATACAAAGTTTGAACTTATAAATATCCCATTTTGTTAAATTTTTAGATAGACTTTTTCCCATTTCTTTTATCTCTAAATATTTTCTTCTCTTAAACCCTTTAAGGAAAATAAGGGCACATAGGTACAAAGGATGGAAATCAGGTAAAATTAATATTTCTGTGAAAATCAGACTGTGTCTTTCCTGAGGATCAGAGGACATTGGGTAACAGACTTGTGATTCTCTTTAGAGGTCATGGAAAAAGGGCCAAGGTTTAACTGCCAGCAAGCTGGGGGACTGTGAGGGACAGGGGTAGGAGAATCTGCTTAGTTTGTGGTAAGGAGACAGAAGGAGAGTGCAGAAAAACACATCAAAAAGGAAGCTTAGCTCAAGTCCAAACCTGGGGAACTAACAGTGTTTGGAGAGTGCCTGGATAAACCTAGTGTATTAAAACTCACTGACTCACAGAGTAGGGATGTGATTAATATATTAGGAGCTACCATTTAATAATCCAACTGGAAAAACATAATCAAAAGGCCAACAATACCTAAACTATTATGTATCAGATTTTGTTCCTAATTCACTGGAGTCATTTGGAGATCATTAGGGCACTACTGTAAATGTTAATACCATTATTTCTCATCATTTCATGAGGATTTGGTTTTCTTATTTCATCATTTAATTAATACAGGAATCTACAATCAGCCTACAGGGTAAAACAAAAAAACTGCCAGGGTGCACTTTTCTGAGTTCCAGAACGTACAAAAAAACCAGAAATGTAAACACAGGTGCTGAAGGAAAGCCTATAAGAATAAAATAAAATTCAAAAGTATGTAAAATAGGCCAATGAGTATATTATTCAATTACATTAAAAATGATTTATTTCCCGCAATTGCTAATCTTCAGTTTTTTAATATTAAAGAATAAAATTTACATAATGTTATGGCTACTCTTTCAGCACACTTAACAAAGGATAACACACATTCTAGCCAAGTACTTTTTTGTGATGATGCTGATGATTATATTCTTCAAACACTAGTCTCTTCTGGAGCCCCACATATTAAGTGGTCAAACATGTTGAATTAATCATATGGATTTATTAAAAATAGAAAATGGAGTCAATTTTCCCATGAGGGAAATATTAATTATCAATAATATTAAAATATAGTTTATTACTGTCTTTATTTTCTTCAAAAAAGTATTACACAGGAAATGATGAATTGTATGGAGTACTTGAAAGACTTACTGTATAGAAAAGAAGGTTATACTTAGTGAAGAGTAAGATATACTCTAGTCTCTTATCACCTTATGAATCTTTCAAGTGAGAACTAGTAACATGTATATTTCATACAATATTGTATTCAGAGATTAAAAGGGAAATTTAATTGTCTTCCTTTTATATTATTTTCTATAAAATTATTTTCAATATAATAAATAGATACTGTAATTGTTAAATGACTTTTGTTGTCTGGTAGTAACAGAAGAGGAATGAAAGATAAGATTTCGCTTCTGTAACAATAAAGCCTAGTAACCCATAAGGGAACTGAAGCATGATGGCCTTCTTTTACTGCTACAAAACACTCACTCTAAATAAAGATGTTGCTGCACAAAATAACACTCATTTTGAAGAGGGTGTAAATCAATTTGCATAAAGATTTACATTACTCATCAATACTTTATACTAAGTAGTTTTAAATTAAAAACATTGTATTTATAGCATTAACATAAACAAGTACCTGTAAAAATGACACAGTACCTTACTTTCCTCTATCTTGACAAAAATTAATGTTTTATTCATTAATTAGAAAACATGAGGTTAATTTTCTTGAAAGGATATGACTTTTGGCAAAAGGGAGATTACAAGAGTTTTCTACAATGGTATTTTGTGTCGCCATAGCCAGTATCATTTTGTAGCTTCTCATCAGTTTTAACAATGCAGAAATAGACTGCCTTACCGTTGGTGCTGTATCAACATGATGGTTACAAGGCTTTCTTTCTATGCTGATAATCCCTGTGAAAAGAAAAGGCTGTGAATATTTGCTTATTATATCTCTCCATTTTATTTTGAAAACATTTATGTCAGTAAGACATGCCTCCTACAGCTTACAGGAAAAAAGCCTCACTTGGATGGCAGGATCCTTTAAAGTTGTATCACGAATTCTTTGGTCAGAAACAGCTGGAGGGTTTAGCTAACTAAGAGACCTGACAAGGTGAGCTAAGCCCATTTTCCCATTCAAGTGGCGTTTAGCAATAGCGCAAGATGTGTCCATATTCTGCTCTCCGCTCGAAAATTATACCATTATCTCTGCTCTGCTGCATTTCTTCCAAAAGTTTTATTTCTGACTTGAGGTCGTCAAGTTTTCATAAAGAAATATCACAAAGGCTATGAAAGGAATCACTTCCTTATTCTCTCAAAAAGAATAACTAAATCTACTTGAATTTCTCTTTGATCATCTGACTTTCTACTATGACATATTCTGCTACTTATTCAATCACCACGGAGCGTCTGAAGAAAACACAGTTCCCCTGATTTTCTCCTTTAAAATGATAATATAAACTGCTAAACTTGAGAAAAATCCTTTTACCATGTGTGGATTTATCTTTTTGTGTCCACTGTCCTCTACTGCATTTCTTTGTAATAAACAGCTTCTAAGGAGGTAACACATTGCATCTCATCTGTAAAGATACTGGCTCAAAGTCTAGGCTCAAGTTAAAAATGAACACCGGTGTGAGTCTCATTTACTTTTCAGTCTCTATCCGTCAGCAAAGCAACATGTGAGTTAGATATCAGAACAGTTTGTTCAGATAATGTGCATGCAGGGCTGGTGAGAAGTGAGAGCTGCAACGTACTGTCGGTGGCAATTAGCAAAATTTCGAGATGAAGCAAAACTCTAGCTCCTCTCGCAGGCATTTTTAACTCATTTTCTTAAGAGATTTTCTTAAGGGATTAAGTGAGATCAACACAAAACAATCACTTTATATCACTTTGCAAGAGCATATTCAAAATAAAGTACCATGAAACATGATTTTAAAAAAACATAGTTTTCGTTTCTCTGAATTAATTCTCTCAACATCTACTGTTAGCCAGTGAAGTATAAAGCAATGTACTACCTTTATTCAATCAACTAAGATTTACTGAGTGGCTATTTACCACTCGAGTGATAAAAGATAAATCGTAAAGGATAAATTATGATTTCTGACCTAAAGAGTCTGGTAAAACACAGATGGCCTTTTTTGAAGAAACACTACAGAATAAATTAACGGTTTTGTCTGAAGTGTAATAACAAAGTCTTTAAAGTAATTTTGATGGAAAGGTACTATTTTACTCAGAGTAATATTGGCCTTGAATAAAAAAAATTTTTAAAAACCCCAAGTAAAACGTATTGGAAAACATTCAAATAATGCCGATTCTTGCTGTAAGAGTTTAATAACACTGAAGTATACAGAACCAATGGTGAAACCTCCCTCCCCAGCTCCCACACTCCCACAACTCTCTCTAGCTGCAGCCACTGAGAACAGTCTGGCACGACACACTGGCCTTTAAATGAGAGGTCACATCACGGGGTTCAGGAATTAGCAACATCTCCCATGTGTGTTCTCACTATAAATAATCTGACTGCTATAGAACTGACCTAGGCTGATTACTGATTTTAAAATTCTTATCCAATTAGAAAGTAACTTCAAAAGGATGACAATAAAAAACTAAAAACCCCCAAAATCTACATCTCAGCTTATAAAATTACAAAGAAAAAAAACTACACATTTTACACTTTCAATTTCAGGATAAAAATGTGTTGAAAACTAGAATTTTTAAAAGTGGATGATCAAAAGATATCTTAGTTTTAAATTTAGATTGCCTATTAAAACATCTTTTGGAAATACAATCATACATGTTTGTTCAAGCTTTCAATAAAGAGCATACAGAAAGGAATAAACTTGAGGAAAAATGTCCCAAAATACCTCCCTATTTTAAGTAAATTTTACCTAAAAAAATCTATATTTGTATCTTATTTCACTTTTATTAAGGTATAATGATAAGTGAAAGCTCATAATAAGTAGCTTGCTGTAGTAGTCATTTTTATGTGTCAACTTGGCCAGGCCACAGTACCCAGATATCTGGTCCCACATTCCAGATGTTTCTGTGGAGGTATTTTTTAGACAAGATTAACATTTAAATCAGTAGACTCCGAGTGAAGTAGACTGCTCTCCATAATGTGAGTGTGCTTCATCCAATCAGCTGAGGGCCTTAAGAAAAAGACTGACCTCCCTTGAAAGAGAGGGAATTTTGCCAGCAGCCTGCTTTCAGACTTGAACTGTAATTCTTCCCTGGGTGCCCAGCCTGCAGCCCACCTCGCAGATTCTGGACTTGCCAGCCTCCACAATCCTGTGGACCAATTCCTTAAAATAAATCTCTCTCTCTCTCTCTCTCTATACACATCCTACTGGTTCTGTTTCTCTGGGGAATGCTATGACACTTTCTGGGAAACATTAAATAAAATGAAAATACAATTGTTTGTATTTATTCTAAATTAAAATTTTGTTCATTAAATATATTAATTGTGCAGGAATATAGTTAAAATATCCAATTTTTCATGGGATATTTTTAAATTAGAATATCTCAAAACGAACTTAAGAATATACATCTGTAGAGTAAATCAATCTATAAAATAGAAAATCAAGAAAATCAACGTCAATAAATATTTACCACTAGACTGTCCAGTCTGAAATCTCTTCTTTTTAATGCTTAGTCTATTTACATTTAATGCCATTACTGATCCAGCTGTGTTTAAGTCTGCCATCTCGCTATTTTATTGCATCTATTTTTGTTCCTTTCCTCCTCCTTTTCTATACTCCAACCAAGATACTATACTTACCAATACCTCCTTGCTCCACACAAGATTAAACTTCTAAGGCTTTTACTTCTCTATTCTTGTATATAAACACAGAAGTTTAAATGGAAGAAAATGCGTAGGAATTTGTCGAAGTGCTAAGTATGAATTTATAAAACAAAAAATACTCTAAGAAAAAAATTTAATGTTTCCCCTATGCCTAAAAGAAAAATCTAATCCCCTATGTCTTGAGATTTCTGTTTTAATTCAGTTGTCATTTGGTTAGAGTACTCTCTAAAATCCTTGTATATCCAAATATGCCTTTCTTTGTCAACAGATGTATGACACTTCGTCTGAAAAATGATTTTTGGATAAGAAACCCTTTATCTTGGTTGTCTGGATATGTTATTCCACTACCAGCCAGCTTCTAGAGTTTTAGATAAGTCCAATGCTCATCTGACTATTTCCAACATAAAGAACCTGTTCCTCTTATGTACAGGCTTGTGAGATTTTCCCTTTATCTAGGAAATCAGGAATTTCACCAGGGTATGTCTAAGTATGTCTTTGTTATAATTAATCTTTCTTAGGACTTGATAAGCCCTTTAATCTGCAGTCTTATCATTCTTCTGCTCAGGGAAATTTTATTCTATTATGGATTTAACAGAATAGTTTAATTTTGCAGCTCATTTTATTTTTACCTTCATGATTTCTATCTTTGTGATAATCCTTCCACTTAATCATCCCGGTGAGCATCTTCTTTTTCACTTTGTCTAATAATTTTACAATGTGAAATCATGTAGTTTATTTTCTAGTTCCTTTCTAGAGGCCTACAGAGGCTAAGGTAAGAGGGATGGCAGACCCTGGAGAGTATTACGGAAGGTAAAGTTTTTCTGGGATCTTAGTGCCAGTGTGTCAGGCAGGGGTCGGGGTTGGGGAGCTTTGTTCTCCTTGCTGCTGAGCAAGGACCTGTGCAGGGAAAACGGGCCTCTTCCAAAGGTGTAGGCAGAAAATGGGCTTTTCAGAGCCTACTGGGGGTTGTCCTCCAGCAGAAGCTATAAATCCTCTGTGTAACTGGCTCTGTCAGTTCAATGCTTGTAGTACATCAAGGGCCTGGCAGATCCTACGGACCACAATGGACCTAAAAGGGGCTGATAAGCAAAGGGACCCACACACCTGTTGGCGTTTGCTTCCAGGCCCCATCCCTGGGAGATGGCTGTAACTTGCACTTGATGAGACCTGACAGGAGAAGCTTACTCCCGTGTCTCAACAGAGGGCTAACAGTCGGACAGGTTTTTTGCTACAGCTCAGACCTCTATTAGGATAGTTGGGACCACAAACGACGAGCATGCAAAGAAAACTAACAACTCTCGTAAGGAGTTTCAGTAACCTGAAGATGACCAAATAACCTTCTAGAACTGGCAGTGCCACTGAGACAATGGGAGAATTAGAGGACCTCTTGACTTAAAACAAAACCCAGCAACTATTAAGAATTTTAAGACAGTTAATTAACAAACAACAAAGACATTTTAAAGGAGGGAAACAGTGGCTTTCAGAAAATAAAGCAGAAGACAGGTAACAGTCCCAGGTCACACAACCAATGAGCAGCAGTACTACGACTGAAACCCATGCACTACGTCATAAACTCCCCATACCCATCTCTGTGTTTGGTTAGCCCCTGTGGGCAGGACCTGATTTTATTCCTCTGTATCCACAGTGCCTGGTCCAGACGCCTGAAACACAGGAGGTCCTGAAGAGCTGACTCAAATTTTAACAGAATGAATGGAATCTATGCCATATCCACCAGATTCATACAATACAATGTTTGAGAATGTTCTGGGACTGTTTTCAAAAACGTTAATTTACTACTTCCTTTGGTAATGTTTCTAAACTTACTGTAAAACTGAAGCGTATCACTTAAAAATTTTCCAGACATTAACACACACTAGAGAAGATAACGAAAGAAGTTTTATGCTTCTTGGGAGACACTTTAGGTATTTTATTTTGTAGAAAATCAGAATGTGACATTTATCGCATTTGTACTTGACTGATCTGAACAGCAGAATTACACATTACATATTTTTTAGTTTCCCTAAATTCTATCAACCTTCCACACAGGACCATGATCAAAGAAAAGAGAGCACAAAGATGATCAGATTTATTGCAAAAGCAAAAACGGGCAGGA